TTTATGAGAAGGTTGGCCGCCTCTTCTAGACATAGACCACCCGTAAACACTTCATAGGCATATTGATGGTCACACACAGTAAAAACGGTTCAAGTCCTTCATACTTTGATGTAGTTCCATAAAGGTCTTTTTAAACACCTGCGAGCAACATAGGAATAACAAAGCCTACTAAAATGCATTACAAACCTATTAGATATTAATTTAATTAGTATACCTGTGCAACAGTTTGTAAGTAGGTATAGATGGACGGATGGATAAATGGATGCATGTTCAGTTGTTACTCTTTCAGGTAAAAGCTACTGAACGGAGCTGATTTAAAGTAGGTAATCCAAAGGCTAATTTCTATCCTGGTTCTGTGGGCGGAGTCGCTGGCAGAAAGTTAGTATTCTCTCCTATGCATTCATCATACGATACCTTAAATTAAAATTTTTCTTAACAAACAAAAAAAGGACTCAACATGATACATTCATCCAGTTGAACATAAAATATGCAACGCACCTGTTATCATGATGAACTTTTTCCACTATCCCGTGCCCTTTGCTTCCGTATCGCATTAGCCATACATGGTGCAGTATTAAAAACTACACATTTCGGTGATGCGTGACCTAACCGGTCGGCCGCCCTTCCTACCTGGATACGCCTGAGAAAATCTACCACGAAACATCATAAGAAAAAATAACCTAACATTTTATTTTCCCTCGCATTTTCTTTATAACGTTGGAAGGATTTAACAGAGAATTTTAAATTAATATTACGTTTATTTTTATGTTTCCTTGTATTAATATTATAAACGTCTAAAGTCTTGTATTATGTAATCATATCGTTCCATTATTCCATATCGCATTGTTGTGTTTGTCAGCCGCCATGTTGTAGAAACATTTCCCGCCAAATGTGCAATCCTGTGTCGTAATATTTTTAATGGCTAGTGCAGATAGTGCAATGGACGTAGAGTGGTCTTCCTTTTTATGGTGTTAGTTTTATGGCCTTTGTTGTAGGTAAAAATAGATACCTACAGGGTACTTTTTGCTTGCCTTGATAAGCTAGTTAAGTAGTTAGGTAAGTACCTACATAATGTATTTTATTTATTGATACCTACTTACTTAGACTAACTCCTATAAAGTTATTTTCTATTTTATCTTTCAACTAGCTGCCCTTTACTAATAAATTCATAGGCATATTAAAAAGTAGAACCGCAGAAAGGGTTGACTTTATGACAGGGAACTCCGCTGGCCTACTTAACAGATGTCTTCAAGTTGATTATATCTACTTAACAACTATCACAGAAACTGCCAAATCTATAAGTCTCATTGCCATAATATTTAAATCCATTTTGACAGGAACACCTACCTGCCCACGGAATAGAAATTAATTTTCTGTTCTGTGTACCTGCCTATTTGCTCCAGACATTTTGAAAAAAACTACTTACTATTATAGACAAAATTTCAAAAATATTAAAATATCTATATAAGTACCTAGTTAAAGTAAAAACGGTTGTTTCATTGTTACCTAAATATCTTTATCGAAATAAGTGTCAAAGTTATAAATTGAACAAAAAATTTTGGCGTAATAAGAAGTCGGTAGTAATATGCTTATGGTAATTTGGTGAAAAATTACGCTATTATCTTGTTTGCTGTCATTTTTATCAAAAATAAGTATTTAACTGCACGGCACATACCTAATGTAAAATACAGTTAGTAGGTATGTAGATAGGTAACGTTGCAAGATTTAACTGACCTAAGTAATTGTAAACGTAAACTATAAAAATCATTTTTATTTTGACAGGGGAAATTCATCAACCACAGACGAGGTCCTATAGGGCTGATGTTCAGCCGGGGTTGCGGGTTAAGCGCAATGAATCACCGCGGCCTTGGCCCAGAGCAGGAGAAGGACCGAACAATTTTATTTGTCAGAGGAAAATCATCAAATGAGTTCTCCCGCCCAGGGTGAGGCGAGAGGAAGTGTCAGACTCTTACTGACTAAACCCAGTTCCTTCTCCTGCTCTAGGCCAAGACCGCGGTGTCTCATTTCACTCGCCTCGCAACCCCGGTAAAACTATTAAACCCTGGCTGTCCTTTGAAGGGAAAACGTCATCGAATAAGCTGTCCAGTCCTGGTTGGGGGTTAGAGGGAGTGTCAGACTCTTACTGACTAAAATGTCCCCGTTACTTCTCCAACTCCGAGCAACTCTTACCCTGGAAATGGCTAAGGGAAGGCTGCAAGCGCAATGATTGACTGTAGACCCATACCACAGTATAAATAAATAGAGAACAGTATGGTAACTGCCTAGAAACGCTCGAAATGGCGCACTCACACAAACATGCGCATTTACGAGAGCTCTAAGTGAACCTCAGAGTGCAGTCAGTATCGGGTGTCGCGTCAAGACGATTGATCACTTTTAAGTTTATACCCGCGATTTTTTTTAAAATGCCACTTTCTTTCCAGCTTTTTTTTATTTTTATTTATTTCTACTTTTCCGCCATGGGTTTCATAGTTTTCGAAGGTGATAAATTTAATAGTGCTGTTCAAATTTAAATCCAAGATGGCGGTTGCAAAAAATATCAACATTTTCATCATGGGTGTCGTTTTCATGGTTTTCGAGGGTGGCAAATTCGATAGTGCTGGTCAAATTTGAATCCAAGATGGCGGCTGCAAAAATTATCAACTTTTTCATCATGGGTATCGTTTACATGGTTTTCGAGGATGGTAAATTCGATAGTGCTGTCCAAATTTAAATCCAAGATGGCGGCTGCAAAAATTATCAACTTTTTATCATGGGTATCGTTTTCATGGTTTTCGAGGGTGGCAAATTCGATGGTACTGTCCAAATTTAAATCCAAGATGGCGGCTGCAATAATTCCAACTTTTCTATCATGGGTGTCCTTTTCATGGGTTTGGCAAATACCTGAAAACTACCTCTTATGAGCTAAGGTGGGTTACCATGTTCAAAGTAAAATTGTTTTATTCTTATTCTAGTTTGGGTAAAAGACAGAGCTGTATAGTATAGCGCTTATATCTTAACATTTATTTAAACTTACTTTTTTTGAGATTTTTTGAGGTTCACATACGCAACACCATGAAATTACCTATTTAAATTTTATTTGTAAACTAGTTATTTCAATTCGATTGATTGATTACAACAAAACACAATTTATTTATTTTAGAAAAACAAACAATATCAAAAACATTAGAAGTGACAACCCTAGTGCTTTAATGACCGGTAGGTAGTTATACGGTCAAATAGGCTTAGTTACCATACTGTTCCATATTTATACTGTGCCCATACAGACCTTCTCAGCAGGAGAAGGAACGGTGTAGTTTTAATCAATAAGTCTGATGCTCCCTCGTAGAAGGTTCTTAAGGTGTTTATCAATTGTACAATAAAAAACATACCATCTATCACCTATTTCTTGTTAAAACGCGATAGGATAACTGTACCTTTTAATTATTAATAATCAATAATTGATTATTATTGTTCGTTATCACACTATGACTATGAGTCTTCTATTAATAAGAATGTAATGGCGTGCTATCGGCAACGGAGACGAACTCATGATTAATATGACACTGGGGTGTTGCGCACTATTGCATCACTATATGTATATTTAACTAGCTACTCTCGCGCGGTTTCACCCACTGCTCGGCTCCATTTCATCGTAGCATGATGTTTTATAGCCTACCTATAGCACTCAGGATCATTGTAGCTATCTATCAGTGAAAGATTTTGGAAATCCGACCAGCGGTTCCAAATATTACCCCCTACATACAAACTTACAAACATCTCGACATCCACGCGGGCCGGGCCTGGGGCGGAGCCGCGGGCGACCGCTAGTAGGTGAATATGGACAGAGTAAGCGACTTTGATACCATCTACCTATCTAGTGATAATACAGCATGGTCTACCTAAATTCCCGCCAGGATTGCCTGTCAAGCGCAATAATGTAGGTACCGCGGCTCCGGCTTGTAGTAAAAAAAATGGTTTGGTTTTGAGTCAGTAAGAAGAGTCCTCTGCAAGTCTGAAGTCTCTGAAGAGTCTAGAGTCTGAGAATAGCATCTCACCCGCCCAGGGCGGAAAAAAATTTGATGATTTTACAAATAAATGGTAGGTACCTACATTATCCGCACTTACCTGATAATTTTACTTTATTTTTAGCTAATCAATAAATAGAAATAGCTGTATCATTGTTAAATTTAATTTTTGACAAAAAATATTTATTGTCATCAACATTATCAAGAAAAATTGAATTAAAAACAGTAAAGTGGAATTTGATTTATGCCATTTTAGGTACCATGACGACTAAATAAAAATGAATAAAATTATTTTTATAACGTATAATGAGGCTGTCGATTTACAAACCGCAAAGTGACTCAGCGCTGCTTCTCTTATTCAGACCGCACAATAAAAATTTACCAAAGGTTTTTGGATTTGAATATTTCGATAATGTTTAAGAATACGAAAACAGAAATTGGTTGGTAAGTCCCTATATTTAGCAAAACATTGAAATCTGTAGGTAAAATAAAATGAGTCAAGGCGCGAACTATAACGATAGACGGATGGGCGCGAAGTTTTGCCATGAGTGTGTTACCAGTATTCAATCAAGAAAAAAAATTGCGCCCAGGCTTATGTATAGATAGGTAATTATCATTATCTATCGATACACATGTGAATGTGTATCGCTGTAGATCTGATAACAAAGTGATTTGACTAAATTAAATAATTATGTGAATATTAATTGATAAGAAATGTACTGAGAGAAAGTAAGAATATCAAATACTTATTTTTTTTTCAATTAGTCTCTTTTAAACGTCATTGCTAGAAGTGATTAGTATAATCGATAATTAAAACTATTTTAATAATTTTAAAAATATTTAATTGATATATATTAGCATGTAATCATCTAATGATGTATATTAATAATGGAAATATAATAATTATATGAATATAAAATAAAGTCTTAGATCCAACTCAAAATAGTCTTTAGTTTTACACTGGCAATACCGTACGTGACAGGTGTTTACGCGCCAAACAACAATGGTTGCTTGCTAACGTTTGATAAAAGTTTTTTGATGCACGCTTTTTGTTGCAATTTACGAAGTCTCTCAACTAAAAAACGCTTTAACAGTTCATTTATCGTTTACTAACTTCATTTGAGCTACAATATGTAGCAATACTATCAAGAAACGAGTAGAAACTGTATTGTGTATTGAGGCTGGAACACCGATACGTTGCGAGTGCTGTGCCCTATTTAGTGTTTTATTGTTAATTAAGGTCAGTAATTCAGTCGTAGAAATGGCTGCGACGACTCCTAGACGTTCGACGCGAATTCCTCACACTCATACACCAAAAATGTCTGAGCGTAAGAAGGGGTTATTTCAACGTGAGGAGTTGCCTTCGCGGGAGTCGCTGACGACGCACAGAAAGCTGCCGGTGGTAGATAGCGAGAGTGACAGCGAAGACTGTGACTTGGGGATCATCAGTACACTGGATTCCAGCTCTGATGAGAACGATCAGAATGTTCCCAAGACTCCTGAGAGAAGCTTATGGCGTAAGTGTATTTTACTTCTATTAGTAATGTTGCTAAATATACTCGTGTTATTATTGTAAACAATATGTTGAACGGACAGCTGCAGGCCTTGTTCATCTATCCATGTGGTATTACTTTCCAATGCAAGTAAGTTGTGTAAAGTCCTTGATTTTGACTTGGAAGTTAACCTTGTGTTCTATTTTTCCTGTCTGTGTCACTTGTTTTGCATGCAACTTGCTTTTAACTTGTCATTTTTGTATGTTATAATGTGGCTGCTGAACAAAAGATTAAACATACATAATATTCAAATTTGGAACTTGAATTAAGTATCTTTCTAGTTATATTCTTACAAAGTTAATTTAATTCTATTTTAAAACAAAAGAGTAAACAATCTTGTCATTAAAAGAGTGGCCACCGATCATTATTATTTAAGACCAGCATATTATAAGCAGATGTATACAACTAATATGTTATATAACTGCATTTTCATCCTCCTTAGTTCATAAAGACCCATAGTACTCTTAACAAGTTAGGAATACTTTGACATATTTTATTCTAAGTGCATTCCCTACTGTATGCTTTGCATCAGATTGGCATCAAAATCGGTTGACATAGAATGTTGCCTGAGTAGTTCCAAATCTGATCATTCTATTTGACCGGTCTGGAAGTCTTTTGGGAACAACCAAAGCCATGTTGCCTGATGCGATAATAATGAGTATTCTTTGTATGTATTGATAGTTAGTTTGAAGTTAAATCATAGGAAAATAGAAAATAACAACTTACCCTAGCTAACTGAGAAAAGGTGAGTCTTTATTTTTAATCATTTTACCTAGTATGTCTCACTCATAGTTATGATAGCACATGGCCACACCATGTATTAATAAGACGATGATGATGATGTATTAATAAGACAGTAGTGGAGATTCAGCTGATGTTCACTACAATTTCTACCAAAGTGACTGATGATAATGCCATTTGTAGAATGATGAAGTCATATTTATAGTTAAAAATCATTGGGAAAATTAGAATTAATCATTTTGTTCTCAAGTTACCATCACCATCAATTGAGGGATTGCCTTGCTTTGACACAAATGGGCTAGCTTCTTCTGTAGTGACACCACAGCCTTAATGTAAGTTGGTGGATGCAGCACCGGAGGCCCAATCCTCCTTCTGCCTGATCCCTAATTATTTATCTTCAATTATGTTTCAAGTGTGTCATAAAAGCACTTGTGTATAGGTACTCCTTGGTGTATAGGTAGCATCAATTGCTAGACATGAGGTGATCTGTCTGCTTATTAACTGTCCTATCAATGAAAAAAAAAAACAATGGCTGCTGACCTAAATATAAACTTCCTAATCACCAATTACTGAGACAGATGTTTTAATCATAACTGGGTCAAATTCAGACTATCTAGCACTGATTAGTTTTAAATGGCGTCTTTGTTATTAGCCTGACATTGATATCTTCACATTTTGTCTTTTTATTTTGCTACTAGCTTTTTCCCACGACTCTGTTCGTGTGGAATAGTGACTTCCTGCTGATTGTTGGTATAAAAACTATCCTATGTCCTTTCTCAAGTTCTAAACTATGTCTGTACCAAATTTCATAGAAATCAGTTCACTATTTTAGGCATGAAGAAAAGACAGACATAGTTACTTTCGCATTTACAATATTAGTTCAGATATGGAAGTTTTTGTTCTTGGATGAGAGTAAAATCTATGCCGAACTCAAGTCCTGAATCATGTCAGTCAGATACTTATTGCATTTGCATTAAAAAGTTAAAATACATACTTTGGTTCCTGTTATAAGTATAATAACAGTTGATTTAATCAGAATTTTAACAAATTATACTTTAAATAGTAAGTATTTTATTTTACACAAGCCTCATACTTGAAGTTGCCTTCAGCACAGTACAAAGAAGCATTGTATGCAAATTCTATATATTTCGTTATTTTAATTACGATTATAATAATAAGCGTTAAGTTTTATAAGCTGTCACATTCAGCTATAATTCAAAATATCACTCATTTTTATTTACAGATGAAACAAGAAGCCAGACTCGTAAGCTTTTAAAAGAGAGTAATGATTTGAAAAATTTTATCAAGTCACCATTTACATTGAAAAAATATCAGACCAGATACTGTCCGGAGTCGAAATGTTCTGGTTCAGTGTCTACTCCGGTCACTCCTCACCTGAACAACCACCCAGGTACTCCATCTTCTACACACTCATGTGCCAGTGTCCACACAACATCGTCTACCTCAAGCCGGGCTCGCAAAAGCCTGGCCAGTCTTATCGCAGACACAGAAAGCTGCAGCAGCTCTCTAAAAGACCTAAACTTTGACACCGATTCGGGCACAGATTCTAAAGAAAATACGCCGACGAAATCTTTAAGGAGATCCAATAGAAGGAACAAGCTGACTCCAAAATTCCATAGCTTCAAAGGCGTGCTTCTAGAACAGAAGAAAAATATCTCCCCAATGAAAACTGCTGTAGTCTGTTTGACAAAAATGGACATGAATAGTATTATTTCCCCGACGCAGATGCAGAAAACTCCTCAAACAACAGACGCGGGTGCTTCGCCCCCTAAGTTGGGACACAGCCGTCGTTCCGTCATTGAGATTGGTGAAAGTCCTGAATCGGCTTGTGATAGCGAGAAGAGCAACAAGAGACTACGGAACGACAGTCTATCGGAACATGGTCCAAATACCAAGTATCCTAGACTGGAAAATGCTCCTAAAGCACGTTTATCACTGTTCAACAGTGATAGGCTAAAAGAAATCTTATCTGCTAAGTCCTTCTACGGGAAGAGCAACCCCGACTTAAATACTAGCCTAACAGCTAAGATTTCGCACGCGATCGAAGCGACTACGAGCAACAGGCGTTTAAGACATTCCCACTCTCATAGACGTAAGAGGAAACCAGGACAGATTAATCTAGGAGTGAGGCATCGGATCAGGAAGCCCAAATATCACAAGACGAAGGTGGTGAAATACCAGAATTCTTCATTGAATAGTTCTATGTTGAATGACACCGTCATCTCCAACCCTGCCGTGACGGATGCGTCAATGGTCAGTCAGAATTCATCGCAGGAACTCTGTAATGGTAAGCGTTCTTATTGTTTGTGTGTGAACGTCATTGTATGCCCTCTGAGTTTTATATTTTCGTTGTCCAAGTAAAATTAATTAGTAGACGTGTTATTGAGTTTGCATAATTAATTGTTTTCATTGAAAATGTTATTGTGATTGCATCGCGTTGTCGCGCGACCTTCAGACTGTTTTTGAGATCCATTGTAAGTAGATTGCTCGTTAGATTTTTCAATATAATTGTCTTAATAGAACTGGGTATTAAAGGCTTAAGTCATAAAATTAATGAGACAATTGTCAAAACTTTGGATACATGGATTATGAGGAAAACAATACCCAATGGCTTGAGCCTTGGTGGAGTGGTCCCAATTCCGTAGTTTCCTAGGTCAAATATAAATTATGTTGATATTTCAATACAATGATTATGGTATTAAATAAAATTATACTTTCATTCATTGATTTGACGATATAGGCACTTAATTTTAGATTGTTTCTAGCTACTTTTTCAGAATGCTATGTGATGCTTAAACATCATTACGTTATATGTTGCGATTTCACACAAATTTCATAGAAAAATATCGTTTTTCACATAACAATAAAGTATTGAATTTGACTAGTTGTTGGAAACTACCAGATTGTATCTGCTAAATAAATAAAACTGCTGCAAAAATGATTCTTACCTGGATTATAACACAGATCATACAGTTTAACTATTCACGGAAATAACACGAGTGAATCCGTATGCACGAATTATTAAAAAAATAATCCTCAATATCAAAAAAAATTAATACAAAAGTTTCTGTAACTTTTTATCACAACTCATAATAATATTGCGTTACAAAAAGATGCATTTTTTTACACAGAGATCGTTAATGCAATTAACTGATTGATCGATCATTACTACAGCTCATTAGAGTATTGTTAGTATTTTTTCGTAAATATTATATCCTGCTTCATATAATTTAATCATAGCTTTGACTAGTTTTTATCATTAGATTATGATTATTAGCAAACTTTGATATGGTTATAACAAAATTAAAAGTCTGAAGTCGTGAATCCGCTTAAAATAAACGATCAATACTATATTTTTTTTGCAATGAAAAGATGTTTCACCTGACCGCGGTATAGTGCAGGGACTGTTTTAAAAAACCTTAAGTTTTAACTTACGGGTAATTTAACTTATTATTTTCGAAACGAAAACGTATATTATATGTATGTGTGATGTCCATGAACGTCCAATAGTTTTGTTTGCCGAACAATGTCTTTAAAAAAAAACGTTAGGCTAATAGCAACTTAATCATAAATTCTTTTATCGGTCTTTCAAGTAACTTTATACCACATTTCCTTTATTTTCCTTCAGATAAAGCTGATCCCTTTGACAAAGAAAAACAAACAATAGAAGCGCTTTTAAGCCAATGGACGGAGGAAGATATTCCCGAATCTGAATTGTCCTATTCGAAACCTATGCAAGAATTACCATGTTTCAACAGCACGGTTATAGAAGAAACTAAACAAATATTTCAACCAGTGACCGCTGTGCCAGTAAACCTGGCAACACTACCACAAGATTCCGAAGCTGTTATCGTGGAATTGGGTTGCCAGAAAGAAATAACACAGAATTGTAGTCTACCAACCAGGGTAGAGACGTTGCCAGAAGTGGCGGTACCACCTTTGACTACGTTGCCGCAAGTGGCAGTGCCGTCTATTGATCTGACTTTGCCATCATCGGCAACGAATGACGTGGTTATGACTGAAGTGGACGGTCATGTGCAAAACCATGGCGATTTGCCCAAAAGTGGACAATTCCTGCCCGTGGAAGGCGGATATATTCTGGTGGAAGAGAACGCTGTTCAAGGTAATTTAGTTTTCAATTTTTTTTTTTCATTGAATATTTCATTTTTCGACACCTGTTATATCACGATTGTATGCTGAAAAGGGTCTTAAGATATTTCATACTTCATTGTAACTTTTGTTTTCATTGAGCATCTAGCTTCACTAACGAACAGACTGTCAGACTATTATTCAATTAGATGTTACACAAAAGTTCCTGTTTGTGGTTTAGTTGAAATAAACAATTTCGTCTTTGACTTTTACTATACCATTTAAAAGAAAGAGATTGATCAGATTCCACTAATTTCCTCATTGCTCCAAAGTAATATTAACGCAACAAGGTTCAGTTCCTAGATTTCGTCATCCAGCTACTACTCCAACCTTAAAGTCCATAACTCCACGATTATTTTACACCCTACCCATAAAAAAGGGTACGACAAAAAATAAGTTTTTTTATAAAAAGCAGTAGGTACACTTAACGTTACCGCGTTAAGCTCTCTGATTGGCTGCCAAACTTCGAGTTGACCAATCAGAACGCCGAACGTCATAACGTGTGATTCGTGCTAACGTGAAACAAACTCGAACTCGGCACCCAGTTCAATAATTTTCACCCCATTTACATTTGCGTCTAAGAGTAGGTATAAAGTCCACTTTTAATATCACTTTGTAACAAACACAGGTGGTCAGACCATTCACTTAACGGACCCTTAAATTATTAACTAAGTAACTCGACAGCTGTTGGAGTTAATTCATGTTTAAAGAAACAGGTTTTCTAACTTTTCTTAGGGGTTAAAGGTTCGTCGATATTTTAAAAATGTCTTTGTGTGTGTTTTACTTGCAAAAGATTCAGTTCAATTTGGTGGTTAACTTATTTATTTATTTTATTTATCCATTTATTTCGGGCATCGAAGGCCCATATAAAGATATACAATACTATAATTATAAACAATGTAAAACTTAAAAATACTATACTTAAATATATTACATAATATTAAACTATAAAACTAGGGCACATGAAGTGTCGGCGTCATGTTTCGCTGACTAGTGTCATGTAGGCGGCCACGAAACCGGCGAAACTCCTGAAATCGCGTTTGAGATACAGTCGATCATTTCTTAGTTGTTTTCGTACATCCTAGCGTAGCCCTCCTTCAGCCAGGGTTGCGGGGCAAGCAGAATAAGGTACTGCGACCTGGCCTGGAGCAGGACAAGGAATGAGGGGGTTTTTAGTCAGTAAGAGTCTGACACTCCCTCTCTCCGATTTTTTTCATTATTATCCAATAAACGTCGTTCTTTGACCTAAGGAGTCAATAAAGTTTAGTTTTGGAAAGCGATTGGACAGATATCTTTAATTTCTTAACTTAACTATAAAACTTAGATTCTTTATAACACATATTTACAAATAATGCTAGAGAACTGCCAAAGATTCGCGATTCATCTGCAAAAAAAGGAATCATGAATTCTTTGTATTGATTTAGTAACCGGCTGCAGCGTATCATGTCTCGGGTTTCCCGCACGGAACAACTCGGTGTTATCCACAAATTGTGGTTTCGTCTGTCGTGTTTACGTGAATTTGTATGTGTGTACGACACAGGAAGGAGGAAATCGTATTTAGGGTGGTGCAACGTTTTTTTTTTATGAAATATACAAAATGAGCAATCGAGCAGACGAATCACTTGATCGTAAGCGATCAACGCTGCCCATGCACATCCTCACACACCAGATTCCTCACAAGTAATTGCCAGCCTTTTGAGACAGAACGATACGTTCCTTTATTTTGAAAACAAATAAATTAATAATAATATAAAACATTTCAGCGCAAGAAGTACTACCGGACTTGGACGAGATCGAGCGTGAATTAAAAATGCTAGACGAACAGATTCTCAAGATGGCGGAGTCTAACAATATCAACCCGGAAGCCGTGTTAGCATCCACTGAGACCATACCAGCAGTCGTTAAAGGTAAGAATAGTAACATCAAGCCTCTAGAAAACAGATATCTTCAAAAGGCTATTCAGATAACTTAAACTACATTCAATTATTGCTCTTTTCCCGCAACCATTTGACTGTCCGGTTGGTGCGGTGGCTGGGCAACTGGCGGCCGTGCAACGTCTCAGGTTCAAGTCTTTGTTTGATCCACAAATTGTTATATGCTATAAGTACCAACAAAATACACGAGTGAAACCGCGTTGAAGTGTATAATTAGTGTCCCGCACAGCATTAAATTATAATATTATAGTAGGTAATTAAAAATTATAATCATTTGTGAAAATGTTCAGATTAATGTACCATTGTTCATGAGCTTTTTGTTTCAACCAAGGTCGTTTGACGCACTCGTGGACGTTGCATTTTATATTATTATTTCATTTAAATATTACTCACTAGCTTCTACTAATGGCTTTGCCTATATCGCCTGTTAGACCATAACTAAGTGTGGAAACCCATGCTTCGGCACGAATGGGTCGGCTCGACCGGAGTGATAACACGGCCTCACAGAAAACTGATATGAAACAACCACAGCGTTGTATTTCGCCCTGTGAGTAAGGTTACCTAAAGCTCAAACCTTCCCCTTCCCCAGTCCCAAAATCTCCAAATCGCTTATTCCTCATTATATAACGCCGGTAACGCACTCGTAACTCCTCCATGGTTGCGGGTGTGATTGCTTACCACCAGGTAATCCGACTGATCGTTTACCGACCTATCACATAAAAAAGCGTTCTCGTCTCTTATATTATTTCAGACTGATGTAGCTGATCTTGATATGCGTATTGTGTGACTTAAAAACACTTAATTTAAACAAATTTACTGCTGTCGCGTTTGTCTGTGTAAAAACGCTCCAAACTCAAAAACTGCTCGACAATTTTCTGTACGGTTTTAACCAAAAGATGCAGTGATTCCTAAGGAAGGTTTAGATTTACATTTGATTATAAACTGTGACTACTAAAAATATAAACATTGTTACAAATGCTAGTATTAAAATCTAAATTATTTTATTTTGTTTCAGATGTTCCCTCAACTTCGGCAGAAAATACTGACAAGTTGGATAAGCCTAAACTGTTCCCCATCTTTGACAAGCCCAACCCTGGAATCGCTGCTACTGCCAACTCGAAAGGTAAAAATCTAAACACAAGTTGATACAAAAAAAACCAAACTATGCCACTGTGAACATGATTACATCTGATTTGTATTATTTATAATGTCCTTAAATCCTAATATAAAATTTTATTTTGTTGATTAAACTTGTTAAATAATGTAATCCATAATTTTAAAACTGATTGAAGTAGTGTAACAATAGAATATCATGCTAGATCTATTCCCATAAAAATGTATACTATACTTAAGAATGAGCAAATAGTTTTGCTAAACAACTGATAAATGGTTACAGAAGTAGCTAATATAACAATAATTTAGTATATAAAGAAGGTAGAAAGAAAAATTATTTAATTGGCACTGCTTATATTATACTTAACTGAATCTCTATCAATCCTTGTTTTATTACCTGCATACCAATAGCTTTGCTGGATTATTTATTGTTTTCGGCTTACTCACGTAATAATTTGACGAGATACTCGACTAGTTTCAAGTCATGCTAGAGGCCCATATTCATGAGCAGCATTCCGCGACACGCGACTCGGCGACTGTCGCGCTGCTACTCAACTACGTGAGTAAGCCGAAAATAATTTAGAATGTCTCACGAAAGTTATAATAAACATATAGCTTTGCTGGACTTAATACATACTAGGGAAGTTAAGCGACTGACCACTGTGATTGAAATTATAATTAATTCCATGTTATATTTGTTCCAGGTGTCTCAGACAAGAGTAAAAGATTGATCAAGACTGGAGATGACCAGTACGTAATAGATGCTGGACAGAAGAAATTCGGAGCCACGCAGTGCGCTGAATGTGGAACTATTTATCAGGTAATTTATGTTATAGTATACTAGCTGTGTCATACGGTTTCATACGATAATTATTTATAGTCTATGTTGACCGGGGTTTAGTGTAGTTTTCATAGCAATGAGAAGATTTTTCTAAGCAGTTTTAGTTAGTTAGTTTTGGAGCCTAACTACAAATTAACAATAAAATGGTATTAGAACAGATATCAATATTGCTAATATTATGTGCAAATTATAATACTAAGCTTTTGTATTATTTAGCAGACATCTTTGTCTCACGATTTGCATGTGAAATAAATGATTTTCTGCTTCATTTTTTGTTCATTCTATAAATATGTACGTAAATTAAGGCCACTTTGGTAGTTTCGCAACTAGGCAAGGTAAATAAATAATGAAGTTTAAGTGTGGGAGACCGGAGTTATATCACGGCCTCGCAGAAATCCGGCGTGAAAGAACCACAGCGTTGTTTCGCCGTGTGAGGGAGTTTACCGGAGCCCCAATCCTACCCCCCCCCCCCCGATCCCTCCCAATCCCTAAATCTCCAAAACCCTAAAAGGTCGGCAACGCACTCGTAACTCTTCCGTTGCGGATGTCCATGGGCGGCGCTGATTGCTTACCATCAGGTAATCCGTCTGCTCCTTTGCCGACCTATTACATAGTTGCTAGCGTGAAATAACTCTTGCGTTGTTGACATCGTGTGAGTGAACTTACCGGAGCTTTCTCCAATTCCAATGTTCCAAAAGTCCGGCAACGCACTGGCTAGAAGCAAGCAAGAATCTGACACTCCCTCTACCCACCCAGGGCTAGAAAAATCTGTTAATGAAAAAAAAAACACTCGATCTGTTTATCTGTTTACGATCTGTTTGTTTGTCTCCGATCCATAAAACTCCGATCAATCTAGCAGAACACTACTATTACTGATTCTGACCGAAGGAATTCAATGAACTGTTTCCTTCCAGATTGGCGATCCTCAAGATGAGCACGATCATTTGGTGCATCACAACGCTACAGATGTGCTGAAGTTCAATGTAAGTAAAATTTAATTCTTTATTCGTAAAGTAAGGTGATTTACACAGTAAATATTCTGTATAGTTTAGCTAAACTTTATAAAATCCATTGGCTTTAGAAACTAAACTACTTCCAATAACTAGGTTGTCATAGCACTGAATAACCAACTGACTACTACAGAACAAATACATCTATTAGTAAAACCCCCCTAATTAGTTCTTTATGAACTATATTGTAAAATAAATTTAAAATTGCAGAAAAAATAATTTGGCATAATGTAGAATATACTGATGTAACATTCCGCCTTAAATACAAATCCAAACTAATATTATAAATGTGAAAGTAACTCTGTCAGTCTGTCTGTCTTTTCTTCACGCCTAAACTACTGAACCTGTTTGTGTGAAATTTGGTACAGACATAGTTTGGAAGTCGAGAAAAGACACAGGATAGCACAAAAAACTGCAGGATGTCACTATTCCACGCGAACAAATTCGCGGACAAGCTAGTCATGATTATAATATATCCTTTACTTGCTGCCACTAACAAATAATGCCGTAAATTCCAGGGTTTCAAAGACGAGTGCGTCGTAGACAGGCCAGGGCCCACGGAGCGCTGCATTCGCATCCGAGGCGGAGAGAATGGCTGGAAGAAAGTGGAACAACTGCTGAACAGAGTGGTGCATCCCCAACTTGGCTACGGGAACGAACTGCCTAAGGAACAGATACATGCTTATACTGTAAGTTGAAATTAATAATCCTTAGTACTGATGTTTAGACTGCTTACGCTCATATATAATATTTTAACTATTCCTGTTCCTACAGCAGGCATCTGATAACTAACAGAGACCGGGCATCGGGCATCAGTACTTCTATTTTAAGGGATAGGGCAGCAAACAATCTTCTATCACCTGATGGTAAGCAATCGGCGTCGCCCATAAACACCGTCAATGCCGAGGAGTTGGCATAAGAAGGATTGTGTTTCAGATAACCAAATATGAAGAAACAACACTTCATTTTGCCACATCGGTTTTCTCTTATAAGAAACCTTGAAGATTATAAACTAATTTATGTAGAGGAAGCTCAAAAGCCCAGTTTTTAATGGTTCCAGTCTGTTCATTAATAAAAACAGTAGTGTAGCAAGTTGTTGCAGTTCTTCAATAAATTTATGACCATTTATTCAATGACAAAGTTACTTCTTTTATAAATATCTCAACATAATGCTTAAAGTAAAATAACTAACCAGACTGACAGCCAGGTTATTGAGAACATAGCTTTAGCTACCAGGATATGTAGCTGGCCTGGTGAGTTTGGCATTGATAAGGATTTCGACATTTTGAAATTTACAGAATGAGAATAAGGTGCTTGTTCCTTTAAGTAATAACTAAACCAGTTTAAATTTTGTTTTTCAGGCGTATTTATACGTGGAAAAGAAACAAATAGTGGGGTGTTTAATAGTGGAGCCCAAGTTGCGAGCCTACAAGCTGATTCCCGGCGACCCTGACTGCTGCAGCGTCGAGGGTTACTCCGTCAAGTAAGTTATAGTTACAATATTTTATTAAAAATATAAATATGTACAAATGTTTGTGATTGGATACCAGTGTTAGGAGACTCTGTTCTTCCATAACACAACAAACCTTTTTTTAAATGTGTATCCCACACAATTTATTTTATTTTTATTTTGACCACTCGCTTTCTTTATCAGTTAGGAATAAACTTTCTGCCTTCTTATCTGGCTTCAGCCAGGTATGCTAAAAGCTAAATGAAACTAGAGATTGAGATAAAAAAACTGCTAAGTTAGATAAGGAATCATCATAAGTTATGTTATCTTTTAATTTTACACTTTTCATTCTTTTGACTATAAGTATCGACAATCTACAAATATCCATAAAAATACAATATGTAACGCGGCAACCCAACGGTTTGTGTCGGACGCATGCATATACATATACACCATTATAATTAATAATTAAAACACTTTTTTGCAGATGCGGCGTATCCCGAATTTGGACGCATATCAACCATAGGAGGCGTGGCATCGCAGCTCGCCTGCTGTCTGGCGCTAGAGCATCCTTCCTCTACGGCGAAGCCCTAAGAGTGACAGACATTGCCTTTAGCGCTCCCACGGCTGCCGGCAAAGCTTTTGCCACCAAATACTGCGGAACGCCAAACTTCTACGTGTATTTGGAATAAAAAAAACCCAGCATAAGTGTTAAAAACTCTTTTTAAAAGTGTATTTGTGTTCATTACTTTCGGTTTGCAAACTCCATGACGTGTAAATATTAATATGAAGTGGTTTTTTGAGTGTTTTGAATGGCGTTTTGTGGTTTTGATTTGTTTTTGTAGTGTTTTGCTTGGCAGTGCCTGAATGTAGTTTAAGGCTTTTTATAAAGCTAGTAGAATATAATGGTTTAAACAATTTTGCCACTAATTTCTTACCATATCCTCTTTTATTATAAAAGGCCTATACTATACCATTAGCCAGGCAAACTAATACTACTACCAAAAACGAAACCTTTGGTACTTTAAAAAGACTACAAAAATAAAACATTGTGTGTGAATAGTGCGAAAAAAAATTCTACCTCAGTGTCTAAGTGAAAACTTCAGTGCTATTGTGTCTATTATCAGTAGAATTGTGGTCTTTGTGGTTAGATATAAGTAATGAATGCATGGAATGCATATCCAGTGGCAGTAATATACAGTTTTAATGTAAAAATTCATGTTTTATGAACTTTTTCTGGTATTCTTGTGTTGATAATGTGGCAATATGAGTGTAATTCAATCGATATTGTGGTAATATATATTCGTGTTTGTCACAAGGGCATTAATAGGATTGTTTTTATTGTTATTTAAAAAAAATGCGAAATATTAATTAGAAACATTTTGCATGCCTTTTTACTATTTTTGTAAAAGATGTTTTCGAAACTTTTTTGTGGAAAGTATGGTTGAAATAATGTTTTATTTATAAAAGACATGGTGGATATTCTAAAAAGAATATTATTTTTGATACTATTTTCTTGTTGTTGCATGACAAAATTTTTGCCAAGTGATTACTTTGGGTCCAATTAGGTGTATTTTTAAATTAGTCTGTAAAATTTGATACTTTTGGATCAAAATTTCTTGATGTATCAAGTAACTGCCAGTTGATATTATTATGATGTTTAAAAAATAATATGTATACTTTTCTTCAGCTGAGATTATTCATATTGCAGTGTATTATTGTCAATATAAATGTTAACAAAACTACGAAAAAATTTATGTTTTTAAGCACTTATTTGACGGCAATAAGGATGAATTCGCCAAGTTAAAATTACGATTGACAATACAAAAAGTACTCTATCCTACAAAATAGACACACGTATTGAAAATTCAGTCTCTAAGCAGGAAATGCGAGAGAAATACCCATAGTTATAGTTAGGTCAATTGAAAAATACGGCTTTCTTAAGTAAACTTTTAACTCTTTCGACGGCGGTAGTTCCGAACTGATAATACCTTAAAATCTTCAAAAAACAAGCGTGCACTTCTTAAACGACCCGCAATTCGTAGTTGTCTGTTATTTTTAATTCAAGAACAACTTCTAAGTTTCCAGTAACATCGGGATAGGAAAACTGACGATCAGCGACGTCGCGCCGTACAGTCAAATTAACAGTCATATTTTTCAATTTATTTAGCATCACTCACAATATATATGTTACACAAATAATATGTATAAATAACCTAGAATATAATTAAGAAAACATGTTCCAACGAAATTAGAAATATTTAATTTTTTGCGTAGTATAAGATAGTGCCAATGTCAATTTTTAAATAAGTTTTACGTGCCTCAAGTAATATAAGTCTATTTCTAAGTAGTAACCTAAGTTTTCGATGTCGTTTTTATTAATAAGATTTTTGAAGAATTTTATTGAAATTTGCCAAGTTAAAATTGTGGTTTATAAGACGTAATTTTTGAAGTATTTTTTTGAAATTTTCTCTTAAAGTAGTTGTTTAAAATTTTCGTTTTGTTTTCTATACTACCGTTTGATGGTCTGTTTTTTTAGTTTTAAAAAACCAGACACCAAAAATTCTGAATTACTTATTTTTAAAATTATCTACACATACCTCAATAGTTTCAAAGCATGTTTTTACGCTTATATTTAAGTTTTATATAAGTTAGGATATGTAAAATTGTTAGTAGCGCCCATGGGCGAGCTTGCGAAACGACTTAATACTCTAATTATTATAATTGAATTTTGTTTTATATTTTGTCCATGTTTAAAGCTTAGCACAGAGATCTTTACAAGAAACTGTTCTTGAAAAAATCCATAGGAATTCTATAGGATTTTTGACTTATTCTGACATTTTTATTGATACACTTAACTATCTTTTTTAGCAAATGTTTAAGAAATAAGTATTCAATCTCATGCAAAATTAATATAAAAGCAATGTCTAGTTTTGCCGCTTTAAAATATGGGAACAATCTACATAGAATGTGCAATAAAAAATTGGTCACAAAAACTGTGCTAAGCTCTTAAATCCTTCATTGTGTCATCGAATCCTAGTCTTTATTTATGTTATGATCTGAATGTAACAGCTTTTTAATGCAAATTGCCTGTCAAATACATAATTTTGAGATATTATAAGTACTGTTTTCTCGGAATAATATCCGGTTTCACTTGCAACACGGACTTGAATACATTTTATTATTTGTATTCACAGCAATGGATGTGTAAATATTAATTTATTAATAATAACTGTTCCGCTGTCTCAACAAAATTTATGTTTTTGACAAGACTATCGTTTACTTTCCGAAGTGCTCATTTTAAATTACACAGAAGTGTGGAATTTTGGTTTTACTGTCAAATAAAATTGATTTTTTATAATTACATTTTTTTATTTGCTACTACACAGAAAATACTTATACTTCATGTGCCTCCAGGATTACTTTTAAAACAGACGGGGCCCAACAGGGTCGATGTTCAGCCAGGATTACAGGGCAAGCGTAATAAGATCGCGGTCTAGAGTAGGAGAAGGAACGGGAGAGGTTGAGTCAGTAAGAGTGACACTCCCTCTCGCCTTACCTTTTTTTTTTTTTTTGGTGTCGGGTTGGAAAATCCTCATGGAGACCCATCGCCCTCGGGGAAGGGCGAAGGGTACTGTCAGACTCTTACTGACTAAAAACCAACCCGGTGTTCCTCCACTTACCCATGTGTCGGAGGGGCGGGTATCGCCGAAGCATTCGTCGCAACCCCCCGACGGGTATTGGCCCGCCAGATGGTAAGGCGGGCCCCGTCACCCACTGCGGCCGTCACCCCGACCGCAGGACTCCACTGTGAGGCGCGCGCGGAACACGGCGCCGCCGCCTCGAGGCCTGCTGCTGGTCGGACGACAAGATGCCCCGAGTCTGTCGTCCGCAGGCCGCGCCCTACGGTGGCCGCAGGTCGGCCACCCTACGACGTCTAGTGCGTCTGCTGCGGGAGGGGAGAGAGGAGGCAGCCTCTCTCTCCCTTTCCGCCGCCTCCTTTGCGAGCATCACGGCCTCGCAGAAGGTAACGACGGTACTCCACCCTGACTCGCTCCCGACCATAATAGACACTACAGCCGGAAGCGAGAGATTTCCCGCAGCACCTACGGCCGCGACCAGGTCACGGCGCTGCTCGGCCCAAGCTGGGCATTCCGCCAACGTATGCAGCGCCGTATCGTCGCGGCAATCACCACAATGGTGGCACTGAGACGTCGGCTCCCGACCTATGCGACACAGGTACTTCCCGAAACACCCGTGTCCGGTAAGCACCTGCGTCAGCCGGAAGCTGAGGGCGCCGTGGCTCCTATTGAGCCACTCCTCTAGAACGGGCCTTACCGCCTCTATAGCGGCGTGCCCTGCCGTGGGTTGCGCTAAACGCGTCTGCCACTCCGCCATTAAGGCCTGGCGGAGTTCTGCCTTGCGTGCCTCAACCTGTCGAGGCACCAGGCGCTCGCCCCGCTCGACTGCCTCCGCGCGCCACCAATAGAGCGACGCGAGGAGTTTTGCGTCGAGGTCCCAGGGCGGGGATCCGGCTAGGAGGCTCGCTGCCTCAAAGGATATCGTACGGTATCCCCTTATTATCCTGACGGCCATCGCGCGCTGTGGCCTTCGCAGCGCGGCGATGTTGCGGGCCGTCAGGGCGTCCGCCCATACTGGCGCAGCGTATAACGCCATCGACCGTACGACCCCCATGTAGAGCCTCCGGCAGGAGGAGATGGGCCCCCCCTGGTTGGGAAGCAAGCGCGACAGCGCAGCAGCGGCGCCCATCAACCGGGGGGCGAGCCGTGTAAAGTGCGGCCCGAAATTCCACCGACTGTCGAGAACGAGTCCGAGGTACTTCATCGTGGACTCAACAGCGATGGAAACCCCTCCTACTATAATGCTGGATCCTTGAGGCGGCCTCATCCTCGGCCCATGAAAACACAGGGCCTCCGATTTGTGCAATGCCACCTCTAAGCCCAGCCGCCGGATCCTACCCACGACGTGCGCGACACCAGCCGTCGCGCGTATGGCCGCCTGCCGGTACGACTTTCCACGCGCTGTAACTAGCGTATCGTCGGCGTAACAAATGACGCCGACGCCGTGGAGTAGCGCACCGCGCAGAGCCCAGTCGTAGCCAACGTTCCACAAGAGCGGACCCAACACCGACCCCTGCGGAACGCCGCACGACGTCTCTCGCCGACCCCATCCTTCTCGACCCGGGTACACCACCGACCTGTCCGATAAATAGGCCCCGACAATGCGTTGGAGGTAGCGCGGCACCCCGTGATACCGGAGCGCTTCTCGGATGGTAGGCCAGGGCAAGGTGTTGAAAGCGTTGGCGATGTCGAGCGATACCGCCAAGACCACCTCGCCCCGGGCGACTGCCTCCTCCGCCAGGACCTTTACGCGCATGATCGCGTCGACCGTGGAGCGCCCCTGGCGGAAACCATATTGGTTGTCCGCCAAATCCGGCCCCACCCTGGTCATGTGCTGGACGAGGCGGCCGGCGATGATTCGCTCGAAGATCTTACACACCTCGTCCAGCAACACGATCGGCCTGTACGCAGACGGGGAGTCTGAGTCTGCGGGGCGCCCCGCCTTCTTGAGCAGGACCAGCTTTCCGGTCTTCCACCGGCTTGGAAACTGGCCCCGCTCCAAACATGCGCTTAAGAGCCCCGCTAGTCGGGGCCAGAGAGCTCTCATAGCC